GAACCTAACACACAGACAGGACACAACAGAAAGAATTGCAATACCGGTACTTAGAATGGCTGGGTTATGCAATAGAATAGTCAAAGCAAGCCAAGGTCAAAGGGAAATAGAGAGACGAAATACAAAGAGATAAGCCAAAGTCAGGGAGCAGAGAAAACAGAGTTAACGTAAGACAAGCCAAAGTTCGGTAACCAATAAAGCACGCAGAGTATAACATGCTAATGGGCTAAACAAAGACCACAAAGGGCACTGAGGCAAGTGGGAGGTTAGCTTATATACACACAGGGTGTGTCTGGTTGGCTAACCTCCAATTAGTGCTAACCACAACACGTGGGAGGTGTATCTTCCCTCCCTTGTGGTTTCTGAGGTCATCACTGTGTGCCGAGTAACATGGCCGGGTGTGGCACACATATAAGGATGCTGCTCTGGAGTGTGCAGTGTCAGAAACACTGTCAGTCTGTAGCACGGCGGTGGGGACAGCCACAAGCCATGGACAGCGACCAGATGGTCCCGCTTGCGGTGATGGGGTAAGCAAGTGCGCCACGAGCGGCGCAGAGGCAGGGGACCTGACAGGTGGAGTATCTTGCAAATTTCAGTACGTACCTTAAAGTTAGAAAGCAAACACTTTTAGACACAACCTCCACGGGTCACATTACAAATATTATAAGACATATAAAATGAAGGACACATAGATTTGGGCCACACGGATTTCGGCCATTAAAAATGTTTTAAATGGGATGAATACCTGAACAGTAATCAGGCGGATTTTATTTTAGAATGTATATATTTTATTTTTCCGCACAACTATTTTTTATTCGAAAATCATTTATTTACAGACTTGTGGTACAACAATGGGCACCTGCATGAGGGCTGGCATCTGTATACCACAGACTTGGGTTTGTCGAGGGACAAAGTCTATCCCCATCACAGGGGGGGCGAAGGTGGTGAGTAATCTTCTCTGTTGGTAGGTGGTTCTTCGATTGTGTGGAAGATGTTTAGAGGTCTTGCCTCGGGTGGCTCTCGGCCTTGGTGAGCAGTCATGAGGTCACGTGAGCTTAGTTTTGGTTCTTATGCTCTGAGGAGGCTTCACCATGCTTGGTTGTCCTGTTCTCCTGTTTCCCTTCCATGGCACAAATCTGTGGGTAGTGGTGTCTTTTAGACAGGCTTGTATCTTCAGCCAGAAGTTCTGAAAGATTTGATCCAGCCACCACAGGGAGCAGGCATAAGTGTGGCTGAGTGCCCTCTTGGTTGCAGTCGTGCCATGTGCGCTTGTGCAGACAGCGTCCGCCATCTTGGGATGTTGGGATGCACTGCGAGTTTTGCTCAGTAAAAGTGAAAAGTCATGCTGGTATAGCTGACTGCTCTCCGGGGGGGGACCGGGATATCTCCCGCCAGTGGTGTACACACAATCCATGGGGCCCCGGTGTGAAACTAATCCATGGGCCCCCCTCCCCTCTCCTCCTCTACCTTGACCCTCTCCACCTGACCGTGACCCCGACACATACATACAGACACAAACACATACACACAGACACACACCCCCTGACAGACACATACATACACACACACACAGACACATACATACAGAGACACACGCATGCAGACACATACATAGAGACACATACATACACAGACAGAGACACACACACATACAGACACACACACACATAGACAGACACACACATACAGAGACACAGATACACACACATACAGATACACACACTCATACAGAGACACACACACACATACAGAGACACAGACACACATACATACACACATACAGAGACACACACACACACACAAAATGTTTCCTACCTTTTGTGACTTTCCCTGGGGTCCAGAGGGGGCTCCGCCTAATGGGAGTCAGAGTTCCCACTCTGACTCCCTCCTTCCTGCTTCCTCCCTGCACGGGCTGGGGATGCAAAATGTGGCAGCTGGTACCCGGTCGCAGGGATCCGCAGGGCGGCCGGGCCCCCTGGAATGACAGACCCGGTCGCAGTTGCAACCCCTGCGACCATGGTATGTATGCCGCTGTCTCCTGCTGATCCAGGGGGGGGGGGAGGGGAAGGTAGGAGAGTCGTCTCTAAAGTGGCTTGATTCAGAGGGAGGAAAGCGGCCATCTCTTCCCCGTTCTGACTCCAGTAGGCCTCAGCCTGCCGCTGCGGCTCTCTGTGCCACAGGTAGATCAAGCTGTCCCCAGCATGGGAGTCACATTGGGTAGAGGTCTCCGAGTTGCTAGCCCAGGATATCACCGGGCAAACAGCGTTTGCAGCAGGAGCTCTTGTCATGCACGTCTTGCCAACTTGCAGTCCAAGCTCCGCGCCCCCACAAAGGGATTTTAATTTAGCTTCTAGGACAAAATACAACTCTAAATTTAAGTGGATCGAGAGGTTTATCTAAATGTTTTACTACAAGATGAAATATTAGGCGAGGTTTTACCAAAGAGACCTAACGTTATTTACAGTAAGCCAAAAAACTTGAACTCATTCAACCAGTTTTTTTTACCACCAATTTTAAAACAGAATTCTACCCCTAAATCCACAGGTTTCTTTAAATGTAGTCATTGCAAAATGTGCCAGCATCTCCCCAGATTTGTTAATAATTTTACTAGTACTGTAACTGGGATATCTTTCAAAATGAAGCACTTTATCAACTGCTCAACAAAAAAATTTGATGTTTCTTTCCTCTCACAACGCCAAGCCAAGTGGCCACAGTGAAACAGCTCCATCACCTTCAGGCTTGCTCCAGACCATGCAGATCAGGCTGGATGTTATGAATGACACACAATAATCTGAAAATAAGAGGTCTTTCTGAATCACCGACAGCATGCTGAAGCTGAATGATGGCTTTTACGGGCTCACTAAGCCCACCAGGGCACCTGCGGTGGCTGTATGCAATGTCTTGCTCCTTTTCCAGTCATTCTAGGACAAGATGGTATTAGTGGAGGTGCTTAAATCCAAAGTCCCGTTCATATTCAAAAAGATGCAGCTGACATTCCTGCCAGACCTATGCAGTGCCACGCTAGATTTGAGATGATCCGTCTGCCGGGCCAAACTTACCCTCGGAGAGGCTGAGATTAGATATAGATGGGGTCCATCCCATACCCTGTTTGCCACCCAAGATGTTACCACGTTCTGGCCTACCTCGTCGGAGGACTTTGACTCTTTTCTTATTGACCTGGGCCTGATGCAGCCTAACTATATCCACCCTGCTAGCTACTCCTGGGACGTTTGGAAGGTGGTTCCCATTGTCCAGGCTTTGTCCAGGCCTGTCTTATCATTAAAAAAAATCTTGTTCAATTTGTGTTACATCAGGAAAATTGTGTGATATTTTATGATGTATCCTTTGATGCCTGCTTCATACTTGCATTCAGTGCGATTTGCGACTAATTGAAATGAGAAACAAGTAAAGAAATGAAAAAAAAAAATATTCAGGGAAACAGTCATATAAACCAAAAAGGGCACGAAAATGGGACAAACATATAAATATTATGTATATATTATGCTGTACACTTATAGGCACATTTTGCTGACATTTGGTTCACAGATCAAGTGAGAATAAGTAACTAATAAAAGGGAAAAAAGGAGGAATAAAACATCTATATTTATATGATACATATTTTTTTTTTATTCTTTATTTTTGTTGTGCATAATATAACAAAAGATCTTGTTGCCACACCAACAGGGACAAGCCCCATAACATCAACAGAGCAAATCAACAGCATGGCATTAAAATAACAGCACAATTTTTCGTTTTGTTTGGAAACGTAGAGATTCAGGCTAGAGTAACGAGCTTACGATGCTATCACGGTATTGTCATGCATTTCAAAAACAAATAGTATAAAGCATAGTCATGGTATTACATTGAATGGCACAATGTTATAGATTAAAAAAATAATAATAATAAAAAATAATAATAATAAATCATGCTAGACATATGTCCTGAATGTAGGGTTATTACGCTGTAGTCAAGCTAAAAGCAACAATTAGACATGCAGAAAGTAGGCTATAAACTGAACTGTAATTCTGTACACTAAGTAAGCGTTGCGTGAGGGAAAGTCTCTGAAACTAGATTCACTGTTAGGGGTCCCCCGGGAGTCTGATAACTGTATTATTATTGTTCTGGCTCATATCTTAAATAAGACCAGTGCTTCACAAGTTAGGTCAGCCTGAGGGGAATCTCCACTGTGACTTAACTCACTGTCTGTAAATTCCCTGAGGCTATCAAACAAAAGAGTAAGACTGCGCTGCATATAATTATTATATGAAATATTGAAAATAAAGTAAAAGGAAATAAAGGGAATAGAAATTTAAAATGAGTAGCTAACGTAAAAATAGCACATGAGGTAAACTTTGGTACAACAGGAACCTTCTAGTATAGTTCACAGGTAAGTGTCCCAGCTCTTCAGGTGCCTGTTGGGAGACCACACATGCTCCGTGGTCTAGAGGAGGTCGATGGGGTTGAGGAGGGATCCGGGCATTCAGTGGGGGGCTTGGATGGCTTAAAGGCCACAACTCTAGACATGTCCCAGTTGTGTGGGGCCATCCGTGGATGAACGTCTGGTCCAGCGCTCTTTGGCAGTCCCAGAGCCAGCAGTACAGAGTCCACCTCTGAGGCATCTGTAAGTTGTTATGTTTTCCCATCATATGGAATCAACAGGCTTCAAGGGTAGGCCCATCTGTATGGTTTAGCATGTTGACGGAGAGTGGTGGTCAGGGGTTTGAATAGGCTCCTCCAAATCAAAGTAGGTCTGGGTAGGTCTTGGAAGAAGATCAAGGCAACAGATTCGAATGGACAGGAAGGCAGTTCCCTTGCTGTCATGAAGGTAACCTGTGCCGATCTTGTTTGGAACTGTAGGATGACATCTCTTGGGGAGCCAGCTAGTGCTCTTGCTGCTTTAGGGATGCAGAATATGCTGTCCACCATTGCCTGTTCGGCCTGCTGACAGGTAAGAATGGTTGCCAGCAGTCTCCTGATGTAGTGCGGAAGCTCCGCAGGGATTATGCTCTCTGGAATACTCCTGATTTGTACATTCCGGTGTCTGTGCCTATCTTCCTGTCATCTAAGCGTTGTTCGAGTTGTTTGTGGGCTCTATGAATCTCGCCCGTTGTGGCCTCCAATGTGGTGTTACGTGCTGTGAGGTCTTGTGTTGTCTCCTCCACCACCTTCACACTGCCCTCTACAGCGTGAATCCCCTCTCGCACTACTGCTAAGTCTGTGGCAAACAGCTGGTAAATTGTGCTGGTAAATTGTGCATATGAGAGCTTTAATGTCCCATTTAGTTGAGGACAGTTCATAGTCGAGCACAGCAAAAGGTCCCCTATATCCTGGGTGCATTAGAGTTTGACAGGTCCCTGGCATCTGGACTTCTTCCCCATGCTCGTGGGTGTCTTTTCTCGCCTTCGGGAGCGAAGGCAAAACGTTTAAGTAGGCTATAATAGGCTTTTTGTCTCGGAGCTCCTCTGCCACACGTCCGCTCCGTTCAGCTCCGTTATTAAATATATATAAATGTAGATTATTATACTGTTATCCCTTGTATTCCTCTATTTGTCACTTCTCACTTGATCTGTGAATAAAATCAAGTGTGGGAAAACAGTATAGCATTGTGCCCCCATCACCCAACCGCATTCACACTCTATGTCTCACCAATTGGGGCATGTGGTGGGTAAAGGCTGAACTATCTGGCCCTGTGCTTATGGCCACAATATGAAGTAGAAAATTCTTACTTACACGTGGTATTTACAGAATTAAGTTAAGGCACCTCAGCATGTTTACGTAATCCCTGTTTTTTCATGTAAGTAACGTATAAACACTGTGTGTGATCCTTTAATAAATATTTCAATAGAAAACAAATATATAACCGCTTGAAACATTCCACAGATATCACCATAAACTGCTTTTAAATTGTACTAATTTTCTCCATTCTTAGATCTGACTCATGAGTAAAAATAGGTGATTTTATTGGCGGGTCATATGAGTCATACGTTTTCTCCTGCAAAGCTTGCATAATGTATATCCAATTGAGGTAATTAATTTCTTGGCATTACTCACTGTTTGACTAATCAGTGCAATAGTCATTATTTCACAAATACAGAATGAGTAGGACAAGGATTTGGTGAAAAAAGACAAATAATGGCAATGTACACACTACAGGTTGGAATACAATGCAAAACGTATTCACAGCAAGATATGTATTATGTAAGCATTAGAAAAGTGGCAAAATAAAACTTGTTAATAAAAGTTAAATTGGAAGGGAACACTTCTGTCTGGAGTGGACACACAAAGGTTTATTCACAAAACATCAAAATATCTCTAAATCAGCCATAGAAACAGCTGTGCTATGTTAGAATAAAATGAGCCATTCCGTTTTCAGTCCATCGCCATCTGCTGTTTAGTAAATTGCATTTAATTAAACATTACATGGATAATCTATGCAAAACACATGTAAGCAAATAAAGTGTACACAAAAAAATAATTAAATGTAACTATAAATAAAAAGGATTTTCACTTTTGATACTGTTGAGAGATCCTGTCTGGGTGGGGAAGTCAATGCTAAGAATTAAAGCGGCACTGTCATGCCAAACTCACCTTTCCCCAATCGATTCCTCTTCTCTCCCTCTCTCAGGATCTGTTCTTCATTTCTTCCTGTCTGCTCTAGTTTTCTTTAAAACATAAGACAAAGTAGGGACTATTCCTCTTCTGAAGGTTTCCTAAGCCGTGACCAGCTGAGGAGCAAAGTGTGCTTCATTTCCGGTGGTCAGAGCAATTTTCCCATAATCCTTAGCTTTCCTCCCTGTTCCCGCGATGCTTCCTGCCAGTATTGCCGAACATCCTGTCACTTAGACAGAATGCCGGCAAAACTGCCGAATTGCATCCTAACAGAATGAGAACAGTTTCTCCATTCGTGTTAGAACGCAATTCGGGACTTTGTTCGGATTGCAATTTCATTCGAATGAATGAACTCCGATCCTATTCATGCTGTGGCTGCATCTTGCCGCTTAGCCGCTTAGTAGATAGCTCCCTAATTCCCACGGTATTAGGGAGCTATCTACCAAAAGGCTGAAAGACCTAAATTGGTCTTCCAGCCACATTTACTAATACTAAGTAAAGATTACTTAGTATTAGTAAATTCAGCCCCTACTCGCTATACCACAAGTAGGGGCATGTATATTAAACAGTGAATTTAAATACCTTTTAAATGCTTATATATTAGATTGATTGACATGCCTGACAACACAGGGAGAAAGTGCAGAGAATTTAATTCGCAAGCACTATATTTGATCCTGTAACTCTCTAAGACACCATAAAACCTGTACATAGGGCATACTGTTTTACTCGGGAGACTTCGCTGAGCTCAAATATTAGTGTTTCAAAATGATAAATTGTATTACAACTATGATATTTTAAGTAAAAGTGACGTTTTTTGCATTTTTTACAAACGAACAGCACTTTTATGGACTATATTATTGCTGTAATATGTTTTACTGTTTTAAAACACTAATACTTGTGTTTAGTGAAGTCTCCCGAGAATAACAATACCCCCCCATGTACAGGTTTTATGGTGTTTTGGAAAGTTAGAGAGTCACATATAAGGCTTGCATTTCATTTTTTTGACATTGAAAATGGCCAGGTTGGTTATATTGCCTTTGAGAGTGTATGGTAGCCCAGGAATGAGAATTACCCCCATGATGGCATACCATTTGCAAAAGTAGACAACCCAAGGTATTGCAAGTGGGAAATGTCCAGTCTTTCTTAGTAGCCACTTAGTCACAAACACTGGCCAAATATTAGTTTTTTGCTCTTTTCACACAAAAACAAATATGAACGCTAACTTTGGCAGTGTTTGTGACTAAGTGGCTACTAAAAAAGACTAAACATACCCCACTTTCAATACCTTGGGTAAAGGGTGAGATAACGTTCAGCTAAAACATTCAAACACAGATACCACGTGCAGCAAACACTCAGCTAAAACAGCTAACTAAAAATAGAAATTAAATAGGGAAAATATTGATAATAATTATTAATAAAGGGAGGATAGCTAAGTGTAGTGTGAGTGGAATTGGGGGAAGGTCTACTAAACAGCTAACTAAAAATAGAAATTAAATAGGGAAAATATTGAAAATAATTATTAATAAAGGGAGGATGGCTAAGTGTAGTGTGAGTGGAATTGGGGGGGCAGGTCTACTAAATAGAAAGGAAATAGTGAGAATAAGGGAAAACAAATTTAAAATTAATAAATAAAAAGATATAAGAAAAGAATACCTCCTAATTTAGCTGCAGGTCATAGATGGATATCTGGCTATCTGGAGAGGGAGCAGAAGGTAAAATGGAGGCAGGATATAAAAAAACTTTATTAAAACTAGAAAATTAATACATTTTAACAAATGGTGATGTTCAGCACAGGTCAGAGTGCTGAACATCACCATATATGGTCATGGGACCGTCAAAGAAAACGACCACATGACCTGCCAATTCATTTAGAGACGCCCATTCATTCGGTTCGCACGGAGGCTGGAGGAAGGTCAGGAGGAGGACACCATAGTGTCGAGGGGCATGCACGGGAATTTACCGCGCGGGTGAGTATGGGAAGATGAAGGAGCCGCGGTCACGTGTTATCCGGCGAGAGGAAGATGGCGACCTACTGGAAATAGATCCGAATCACCAGCAAACCTTCCAAAAAAGGTAAGTAAAGGTATTTAGAAATATTTAAATGGAATTAAGGGGAAGCTTAAGGGTTTATTAATCTTAACAGCTTTAAAAAAAAAAGAGGATGCGGCCATGACAGTGCCGCTCTAAAAAGGTCTCCCAGTCTCAAATATCACTATCCAACTGTACAAGAATAAAATCTTGCTTCTAGATTTATAATAATTAAACATTTATATATCTATGTGTTTAATATAATTACATTTAAAGTATAATGTTTCATTCTTTTTATACCTGTAATCATTCGTAAATATAATGTAGTTTAATCCAACATTTATTTTGGCAGTAAGTGCATTCAATCTTTGTTTTTTTCTTTTTTTAATCTTAAGAAAAATGTAAATTTATAAAAAAAAATAAAAAAAAATAGTTTCAATAATTTTCTTCAGAGGAATTAGGTCTAATAAATATAATTCAAATAAAGTGTTTTGAAGTGAAAAGATTTTATTCTGTAAGCACTTCAAAAACGATTGTCACATAACACTTTATTTCACTCCATTTTAAAAAGTACTATTTTGTTTCAATGAAACCGGATATTCGCAGGAATATTCTGGGACGGTGAGGTTCGTTATGTATTTTTTGGAAATTCTGTCCTCATACATTGCCAAATGGATTAAATGCCTCCTGTATTTTACATCTTCTATGTTGCTCAAAAGTTCCAAGTTTGTGAAATCATCCTGAGACTGAACTTTTGTGGTAGCAACTGTTTCTATATGATCGAAGAGATGTTGATTACCAGTTTAGTGCTTTGTGGTATCCGAAACACGTGTTCAGCTAGGTGTTCATGAACATTAAAAGCTGGCAAGTTCTTTTTCCACGAAATACATGCCAACATAACAGATTGAAATGTCTACCTTTCTGGGGTTTTTGTGTCGAAGCAAAAAATATATACTATTACCTGTCAACTGCCTTTAATAAGATTTAAAAAATTACTAGTACTTTTTCCATGTGTTTCTCGGTATCACAGTAATAAGGAATTTTTTTTAAGGATATTTTAGGTAAAGTCTCCATTGTTCCCTTAGTTAGAAATGGGTACTGCACGTGTATGTTGCTTCCATTTTCTAATGTCGCAGGAATTTAACGGAAAAAACAGTGTGACTTTTTGTCTTACTTTATGTAAAATCTCTATATACAGTGTCATTGACGAGGGTCTACCATTTTTTTTTAAAGTTATATTTTCACTTATGTGTATGTACAGCACATAATTATTTCAGTGTCTCTCGTATGAAAATGATTAGGATGGAAACTAAGTAACCAAAAAATTTAAAAAAATTTTTGTGTATATTATATAATTTAGAATGGCTAAAAAAAATAAAAAAACCTAAACAAATAATTACGATATTAATGGCATGATTTTACTAAATATTAAATCTTCACGTTCGATAGAGTGATACATTCCATTTTGTAGCAGAAGGTATTTCAGTGAACAAGAGGCTCTGTCTAATTGTGTAGCTTAAATGTGCAATTTACATTAAATAATCAGGATAATTCATGCTCAGATTACCAGAGTTAAAAAAGTATGTATAGTCAAATTAGAGGAT